TTTTTTTTCTCAAAATTATTTGCGCTGAAAGGACTCGGACTCTTATGCTCAGTTGGTCTAACATTTAGCAATTCGTTGACATAAATTATCATAAACACTTGAGAAGGTTGTAATATGCTTGATGCAGGTTTATTCTATAAGCATATGTTATTGTGTTCATTGAGTAGACATACAAGAAATCGAACCACTCTTGCACAGCCTTTTTTTGGGAAATACTAACTATTTCCCTACCATTTTGCTTTTCACAGCAATTCGCCAAATAAATTCAGCGATGTCGAACCATGTGTCGCTCGCATCTTCGTGCAGTTCCTATGCCAATCATCGCCGAATTGACCCATTCAACATGGCATTGGACCGGTTTCCATCTAGCATTCGCTTATTTTCGCAATTTTACAACCATATCTTCACCGCATTACTTTGGTAATCATGTTATGAACAGCGTGCCATGTAGCAGGAAGCTGTTCGTATTCATAAGTATAAGTTCTTATTCAATATGGTTTTGGAACTGCACTCAGTGCCATTGATGCATTCAATCTAACAATTCCCGAATGCTCGATGTTGCTATGAGAGCTTAATCAGCTCAGCACAAATTTGTGTAATGTAACGAACTTGCTTAAATACGGTGATTCTCTACAACCTTATCAATTAATTAGGCGGACAGTTCTGGGCTGGAAGTAGTGATGCCAACTGACCTTGAGATTGTTCTTGCTGACGCTGTTATAGCGGTGTCCCCTACTCGCGCAAAATTTTGGTGCCATATATGACACAAAATGCCAGAATATAGACATAAATCTATTAATGAAAGGCAGGAATAAACCGGTATGGTTCACATATATTGTAAGAGGTTTTCTAAACGTGTAATATCGATCATCATTTTATTAATTTCGAGTCATCAACAACTGTAAACTTTGGTGAATTGCGTTAGAATGGTTCATACGAAAGGTTGGCTCCAGTATCATCTGCTAGTACCTCACTACAAAGTTGTTGGCATAAATCCGTTGGCAATTTTTGGAAAATTGGCAATGCTATCGTATCATTTGCCTTGAATATGCTCGGTAATGAGAATTTTGTCTTAATGTGGTTTCAGATACCCGTATCGGAGCAGAATGAGCTGAAGAGATTACGTCAAATGATGCAAGTCAAACAGATTACGGAATTTGTTCACTCCTCTTTCTGAAAATTGTTTATTGATTTGATGTGTCTGTTACGTTACCTGTGAAAAGCTAAAGAATATCAACCACAGATAATGGTCAATAAATCACACGTCACAGTTTCCACTTTATCTGCACCGTACTCTGATCATTTCCAATGCAATTGATTCGAAGTTGAGCGAATCAAGTTTATTGTGTCGTTGCGCAAAAAGCGTTCTCTCCTCGTATTCTCGACATTTCGTAGTTTCGTTCTCTCCATTACTCCTGGTAATATTTGCAGCTAGATCAATTTAGTGAATGATATCTGACGATGTCGTCCTCCTGCAGGACGGCAGATATGAACAAAAAATCCAAGTCGATCGACGAAGGCTTGAGGCCATGATAACGGGTAAGTTGGTAGACAGAAGAAGGCAATTCTAGGACTGAGGCGTGATTACGGTACAGTCGTATGCCCAGAACATGCTCATAATATTTTTGTCTCAAACTCTGACTTGCGTCTACATCAAGTGTGCGACAGGGCCTCCTCGATAGCATTACCTTGCAAACCACCGCACTACAAAACTTCTTTCAGGTGTTCCAGCGACCGAAACAGGTTTCATATTTATTAATGCGGAGGACTTTTTCAATAAGGTTTGCATTTCATCATCACTTTCTCACCTTTTGAACGACGTTATAGCTACAATCTAGGTGAAACAGTACTCGGGTGCAGAAGTTTGCTGGCCGTCGCAGTTGAAGATCGGTGCAAAAACGAAGAAAGGTATTTTCAGGAAGATAGAGATTAGAATGAATATGATGCTATATTTGAACATCTCAGATCCATTTGTGAAAGTGATTGGAACCTTAGAGGAGATTGACAGAGCGAAGAAGTACATTAGCGGCACACTTCAGGTGAAGGTGAGCTAATCATATTTAATATCAAAAATCGGGATCAGTTAATTTGCATCTTGTCCGCTTGTATATGAAAAGCCATAGCCGAGCAAAATTTTTCACACATGAGCTATTGTCAAAGTTTAGAAGGAAAGAGCTACACTGAAGATGGACATTCACCACTCAATCCACTCACACATCATTGGCAAAGCTGGACGAGGTATACAGCAAGTAATGCGGGCAACTGGCTGCCATATACACTTCCCAGATTCAAATAAATACACGTGAGTGTTTATTTATGCTTGCAGAAAAAACATAAGCATGTGGTCTACAAGCCATATTATACCTGTCAGTAGAGTCTCAAAAATACATTGGGACTGCCATTGGATGAGGCATGATATGGTTTGTAGATCGCGTGCGGAGGAGGAGGGGGATCAAAAAGAAATTTCTCGGGTGACGCACTCCAAAAAAATTTTTTCAATGAGGTAGTATGTCCGAATGCAGCTGATCCTTTGCAGCTGCTCAAGATGGGGGTTGACCTAGAAAAGCCAACTCTTCATTGTCCTCATCCCCACGGATAATATGGTGCCCGAGTTCACTTTTTTTCTTTCTCGTGTAAGAGAGATAGAAGATAAATTATATAAGGCTGATGTAAACACCGTTTCTCATAACATGAGGTGAAAATAGTTGACCGTTCTTCAATCAAGTTTGCTCAAGTTCAAATCAGTGCATCCGCGGAGCAGCAGGTAAATAACCCAAGCTGGCATTGACTATTTACACCGTCTTGGTTTGTTTTCTTGTTTCTTTTTCACTCATTGAGTGGTTGTGTAAGCTCTGAGTGCTGATTTATTTCATAAGTAACCGATTAATCCTACTATAATAACGCGCTAAGGCCGTCTGTGTG